GGGGCGACAGCGGCTCCAGGGGCTGCTGCTGTCCAACGGGGCTGCGGCGAGCTGGGCGGCGGAGCTGGGATGCTGTGGAAGAGGGGGCAGTGCGCTGCATCATAAATTGCTGCAGTAATTAACTTCCCTGCAGGAGCGTGGCAAGCAGGGAAGGAATTGTGATTCCCACAATTCCTGCATGAGGCTCCTCCTGGGCAGTGCAATTATGTGCTTCCCCTTGCACAAAGCCAGGACTTAGGTCACTCTCGCTCTGAGACTAGGCTTGTATAAACTGCAGCAGCATCAGGGGTGTAAGCTCCGAGCGATGTCCAGTCCTAAAGGAAAAGTTGCAACTGATCAAATACTCCCCGTGTGGAAAACCAGCGCAGCCCAGCAACACGGAGTCGCAGCCTCTATTGTTCTCTGCCCTCCAAACTGTTGGTGCTGGCTCCTGCCTCCCCTTTGTTGCAGGACGTGGGGAGAAAGCCCTTTCAGTGTTGGAGTGAACCGAGTCAAAGAAACTCCAAAGAGAGGTTTAGCTAGAATATGGCTTTTATTTATTTTCAGTTTTCCTTCAATGACTTGGTCTTGAGGGGTGAGGGCAGAAAAAAAGATTACAAGGAAGAGAGTTTTATCAGACGTTTTGGTAAATGTGTGCGTGCCCCCACTTACACTGCAGTGTTACGAGCCACTAATGTTGACAAATTATCACGAATGTAGACCCTGAAAAGGAGTCCCATTTAAGACTAAAGGAAGTTTTTTTAAAGTTACCCTTTTTTTATTATCTCCACTGGGATCAAGTGTGTGTCTACCAAATTTATAAATGAAAAAAGCTATTTTAAACATGCAACTTGCAAGTATTCAGTGAAAATTGTGTCTGGAAATGATTTGCAAGTGTAAAATCTGTTTTCATGAATACAGAGTGTCAGTACCTATGAATATGAGAAAAGGAGTAACGAGTCCAGTTCCGAGTTCTGCAAATACCAGTTCTTGGAGGGGAGGTTCAGAAAAAAAATCAACTGCAGTTAAATAATTTATTTTCAAAGCTGCGCACAGCTAGAGTTGAGGATCCGGAGTTGCACAGTCCTCAGTTAGACCATTGTTCCTGTAAATGTGTATCCTGGTGAATGTGAGCTGTAGCCCAGCATTTTAATCTTCCCATATTCCCAAGTAATGAGATGCTTTAAAAAATAACCTCCCTGCTAAATATTGTTTACCAGGAGGGCAAGGTTTTTTTTGTTTCTTCTTCTTTTCTTTGGTAGTTTAAGAATGATGGTCATGGCAGCAGTGTTGAGCCAGAAGAACATAGGATTAAAAAAAAAAAAAAAAGCATTTTCAGTTTTTTCTGGTGGATGATCCGCGGAACAGCATGCTAACTAGTGCGCCCTGACAGCAGGTGATTGAAGTTTGGCTGCAAGAATGCAAAAAGCTTGCTCCCAGCAGTATCTTGTCATTGGTTCCAGTGTAGTGAACCAATTAGCTCTTTATCCACCTCTTTGCATATAGCTGTGGAAAGTGTTATTGTCTTCTGATTATAGGGAAAACCCTTTTTAATCCATGATTTTGAAAACCTCCTTAATCCAACCTCTGGTGTAAACAATGACTGATTCTCTGAGGACGTTGGAAATACACATCGTGCTACACAAAATAGCAATAAATGAGTGGTGGCTAAGATCACAACAGTCGGTAAGAAAATGTTGTGAAATGTATTTCCATTTGGGTGTGTTGAAATAACTATTGCATTTAAAAAGCAAATGGATTCAAGAATATTTTTGTCAAAGCCCCGAGCTTTTAAAGTAGAATTAGAGTCTAACACAGTGAATCTGTGAGTTTGCCTGCAAGACCCTCTGTGAGTTGAAGGTTAGCTCGGAAATGGCAGGGGTTTTTTAAACACGGATTTTGACAGAACAGCTACAACTGCCGTTATCTGGCAGCACAGTATTGTACAATATCCTGCACATCTGTCCTGTTTGGCAATAGTTAGCATAATGCTTGCTGTTTAATTAGGCTTTTTATCTTTGCATTTGTCTGAGAACATCTGAAGCCTTCCATGTTGCCTGTCACTAATTAGTTGACTAATTAAATAGTTAGTGCTTACTTGCTGATCACAGAGCTAACATGTAATGAATGGTTTAGTGATCTCCATTGT